AGACCTCGAAATGCTGCAAGGCCTCAAGGACCAAGTTCCGACTGCGTTAGGAGACTACGACCACTTTTGCACAAGACATAGTAAATTATGTTTTCCATGAATCAATCTGTTGACTGCCAGTATTTGAAGTCCAAGAGCGAATCGCTCGTCTACTTGGCCTCTGGAGTTGCTGCTAAGAAATAGTCGAGCGATGACTTTGCACACAGCAGGCCTAGCGTCAGCAGGAAGCAGCCCAGACCGCGCATAATCATATCAATGGTGTGATTTTTCAGACGCTATTTCACACGGAATAAAATATCCAGTTAGCGCGATTCTATCGTAGCACATCAGTACCAATTCGCAGCACAAACCTGTTTGTACTTCTTCAGTAGAGAGAGCAGCAGGTAAAACCACGTTGAAACACCGCAGCAAACACCCATTGCAAACACAACAGCCAGGAATAACGTGAACTCGAGCATTCCGGTGCCGTACACTTTAATACATACACAAATGATGAGCAATCTCCTCTTCCACATAGGTTAAAAGAGAGTGCGCGTACCTGAAGCAATGGCACCCGTGTAGGATGCAAGCAGGGCCGGGTTTATTCCGGACATTGTGAGGCCCATAAGGATGTTTTTAAGCACTTCACCTTGTGGTCGTCGCACCCCCTTCCCATGAGAGGCTTCGACGTCAGGGTCCAGCGACGGCTTCATGTCCGCCTTGAGAAACACCAGGCCGATGAGTGTGAACATGATGGCTCCCAGTACTCTGCCACAACACACCACATTGTCAGGTAGAGTCCGTATAAATTACTTCTCCTCCGTCCACGTACTTTGAAACCGGGAGCAGAAACTTGGCACCTGCTAGAAAGCTACCGAAGCCCCAGAATGCAATACCCGCGTACGTCTACCATAATATAACTCAGTCAGTATTAGCTCAAGAGTCTGAACAGCTTGTTTCTTACCGCTTCCGAAATAGCCCCGCCCACTGCAATCGTCAATCCAGCGCTATACTTTCCCTGGATGCCAAGCTTCAGCACCATAGCGGACGTGGGGCCAGCGATAGGTACAGAGCCCAAGAAGCCAAAACAGAAGCCAGCGATCAGCGGAAGCAGTAGTCGTAGCACGAGCGGCGCCGGCGTCGCGTCCACCGGCACAGCTGAAGGCTCCTCTTCTTCCTTCTCTTCGTTCGCTGCTACCTCCACATCCATATCGACGCCCCCACCCGCTTCTTCTTCCGCATTCACGTCGACTCCTTTATCTGTTACCACATTTTCATCCATGTCGATACCTCCACCCGCCTCGACCGGCGCCGGAGTGTCCATAAGTTGCGGCTGGACAACCTCAGTCGGTGTCACAGTGACAGGAGACGGCGCTGGGGCCTCTGGAGACAGCGAAGAGAACAGAAGGAACAGCAGCAGCATTGCCACCACGCCGCCCAGCACTGCGCCACGCCGCAGTCGGCGATACGGCACCCACACGTGGCGCATAGCGCGCTTGTACAGAGGCAACATCACGTCGGCCGGTGTCGTTTTACGAGATGGGTAAGTTAGTGACGTTTCCCCTCGATGAAGTGACATTATCAGTTTTAACCAATCGCAGCTCGAGTGCCGCGAAACGTCGCTGATCTGACCTTCACTCTGCAAGTGTCCGCAATGGCCGACGCCGTGCTGCCGCCTCCGCGCTCGCGGCTCATCCTGGAGCGTGTATTGGGTCTCACAGCGCTTAGTAATGCGCAGGT